GTTTTGGGCAAGTCCTTAATCCAATGTTCCCTGGAATATGACCCCCGCGAAGAATCGTTTTTACAACCAAGTACCCATTTTACAGTTGAGTTAAACAGAGGCTACAGCTAGGGATTTGCGCCCAGTAAATCCTCCCCGACCAGAATACGAACCCAGGATAAAGCGCTCGCGGAACACCAGGCAAGCGTGTTACCACTACACCATGAAGACTGTCAAATTATCTGTATCAATAGCTGATACTAGAGAACTGGGAATGGATGGGGGTCTTCATGGTAGTTTTCAGCCCTGGAGGGCTGGCTGAGGAGAAGCGGTGAGGAGACGCTTATAATATAAACTGTTGTATGCAGATTGAAGTCAGTCAAAACTCATAATGGTTCAGAACAGCTGCTTTAGAGATACCACACATCTTCACCACCTATTGACATTAACCAGCAACAATGTAACACTCAGCGAGTTCAGTTCCTACCCTCGCAAGACGTTTCAACCTCACTACAAAATAGACAGCCAGATTCCAGCTGAATCAAGCTTCCATGTTCTTCCAACAGGATCTACAGCTTCATAATAATCTTCAACCCTGCTTGCATTCAGAGCACCATACTCAACACACACCTGCATCAGAGCTTGCTGGCCTGCTCCGGGCATTGCCAGCTACTTGGACACTTCACTATATTGCCAACAAACCGACTGCTGTAACCAAGACTATACTAAATAAAAAAAATATTAAACTCTTTGTCTTATCACCCAAATATGTATGCATAAATATATGTTACAAACCTTCACCCCTTTCAGGAAGACAGCTTAATCTGAGACACCCTTTCCTGCAAACAGATAACCCCAGACAACCTGCAAAGTCTGTAGACGTTTACCATCCAGTCTGCTTCAGATGTAGTATACCCCCTTGACAACAACATATCTCTGCCTACAGACCACTACCAATGACCTCGGCAGGGAAGGTTCACTCCTGCAGCATTCCTGTCACTAAAGATGACCTCCCGCTTACATGCCATCTCCTCCACCATCTGGAAGACAGCAAAGTAATGTGTTTCCCCCCATCCTCCCAGGGGGAGGGGGGACCACAGCCACTGGGTAGTCTCAAAAACCAAATGAGGAAACAAGGAGGCTTTACAGTCCATGCGCACTGCCTATGCCATTACTTGAGCATGCGCACCAGCACGGAACCCACACCTTGAGAAGCATTCATAGAAACTTGAGAAAGTTCTGAGGTTTGCATTGAAATTAACAGAATTGAGAGGTGTCAGCAAAGAGGACAAGTTGAGAGAACTCATCCTCACAACCTTAGAGCAGAAAAGAAACAGAGGGGATATAACGACATACAAGAACCTGTGGGGAATAGACAAACTACACAGAGGAAGCTGATTTCATGAGATAGGACAAAAGGATGCCAGTGGAAGCTGGACACACAGTCACATCAAAGAGATGTAAGAATGTTCTTGTTCCCTATTGGATTGTAATAATTCAATAATTGCAATGTATTGAAAGAATCCTAGTGGGCACCATTGGTTGAAAGCAATTGACGTCACATGCTGTTTACCATATAACGTCGGTAGCTTTCAACCGACGGCACCCACTGGGAGATGATGTTGAAGTAAAGTGTCATCCAAATGTATAGTATTTTGATGAATGATAAAAAGATTATGTGATTTGTGTGCGTATTGAAGTAGACAAACTCACTTGCCAGAGGTAGAACTATTCGGTTGACAAAGTTCAAGTGAATGGGGGGGAATTGTGTGAAACCCAGGTTAGGCTTCAGTGGAAGCCTCGGGATCCTCATGGGAGCAGTAGCACTCTTAAGTTGTAATCATGTTAACATTTCGTAGTACAGTTGACTAGAGCGCGCCTGGGAGCATCCAGCGCATAGGGTCGAACACCTCATCAACTTCCTTGTGGATTTGTTCATTTCATATATCACGTTATTGTGATTTGTGTTTAAAACATTAATGTTGAGTGAAGTAATTTGTGTATCAGGTATAAACTGATACCAGGGACAGGGCATAAAGAGCTAATCCCATTCCCCTTGTAATCACTGTTAGGAAAGTACTGATAGATAAGCACAGGTCTCCAAGGAAATCTCCTGGGGTGTACTTGGGCACTTGGGTGTAATTTGCTCGTGCACACGTATTTACTATTTGTGCCTGCAGTCAAACTATTAGCTTTTGGACCCTACCTTTCTAACTGAACTATTTTTTCTCTATTATGTCACTATATATATCTCTAACACACACACACAACCAGGAAGCAGCATGTAACAACTGTCTAATGCCCAGGTACCTATTTATTATTAGCTGAACAGGTGCATCAGGTGAAAGAACCTGCCCATTTATGCCTCGGCCGGGAATTGAACTCGGGCCCTTAGGACTACAACCCTCGAGCGCTGTCCACTCGTGCCACGAGGCCCCATCACAGCACAGCAAACAGGAGAGGGGGGAAGCTGGAACCACTCACACCTACACACGGGCAGCACACAAGAGCAACTCAACACATCAAGGAACCACCCTTGAGAGGGGAGGGATGGGGGGGATGAAAGGGTTAATGAACCTGAAAACTTGACTGTGTGTATATATTTTTAACCTTTATTTAAAGTTTAGTTTTGGAACATTCTATTATTCTCAAAAGATCCTTAACAAAATACTATACATTTCATTCTTGTACTAGGTCTTATGGAACACATTCCTGCCTAGAAGTGGAGTCTACTATATATATCGGGCCTAATGTTTGATATGTGGTTTAGTAATTTTAATTTTTAGAGTAATGAAATACAATTTATATAAATTTTTAATGCAGCTGAGCTTGAAAGTAGTGATATTACTACTGTACAGTACTTAGAATTGAAGAATAAAATTTAATCTCCCGGATGCCTGTGCCTTCAATTACTTTATATATTTTTCAAAATGATACGAGTTTCTTCCCATTTATAAATATACCCTAGAGAATTATATTAAAATTTTGTGCCTAAGATGTTGTTCAAACTCACTTGTGCAATCTCCACATAAAATGTAATATCAATGCTACTGTAAATTATGCAATGTCTGCCAGAATATTGTTATGATGCTTTTGTTTCTTGGTAGCCGTGTACTTTATGAGTTTGATGTGCTGAAAGTACAAAATACAGAAAACAGTTTAGATATAAAACACCAAAACTGGGAGAAATTATTTGTAGAGAGCATTTTGCTATTGAAGATGTTTTCAAAATAATTAGAGAATGTCTCCTCAGAGTAAAACATTACCTATAAGTCTAAGTCTTCTCCCAATTATGTGTTTTATTGACATGAATAGTTTCCAGTTTTATGACGAACAAAGTATAGTACTGTACTTAGTAAAGTACTAACATTAGCTAAGGCTTTATGACTAAACAAAATCAAAACTTTATATAATACTTTGTCAAGTGCATCTCACCCAAAATGTTTTTAGTATAATATCCGATTTGAATAATTTTCCATAATGCATACAGGCGAAACAAGAAACATATTATTAATATGGAATACTATTGGACGGTATCCAATTCGTTCTCTGCTATACACCAATAATGACTTTTTTTTGTTGTTGGTAAAAATACATTTTCAAATTGTCTACTATAAAATCATGTTTATTATACAAAATATTTGATACAAAACTTTAGTTTCTGTATCCGTACATTCCTAAATTAATCTTAAGTATCGTGCAAATGCCATTCAGCCTTACAATAAAAAATAAATAATAGACCTGAATTTCAGTTTAAGAAATTAATTCAGTCCCACAAGTCTTTATAAACAATACTCATAAAAACTAGTTAAGCAATCAAGAATCTTTAATGTAGGGTATTGGGGATCCGTCACCAAGGACATGACTGCTCTACTAACACAATAAAGTTGTGGACACTTTAAAGATTTATTTAAATAGTACCCAGCCCCACCTCCATAATTCAGAACAAATAGTACCCTGCCCACCGCCATACTCCAGAAACAAAAATTACAAATAACTTCTGTCCAGAGCATGATAATTTATTTATTCACTGACCAATAAATATCAATAAATTTTATTTATTAACTACATATTGGGGGGGAAAAATACAAGTGTTTTCGTTATGTATGATAAAAGTAAATTTGTTATTACTGTATTTTCTTTTATGAAGCATCCACATGAAATTCAGTGTAGTTAAACTGAAGCTGCATTCAAATAATTATTTTCAATTATTTATATCAAAGAACAATTCTGCACTAAATAAAATAAGCTCTCAAGTTGACATCATACATATGCATGAATAATGACAACATTCACCAACAGTTTTTTATGGAAACTTTTAGTTCTTCTAATACTGGGACACTTTGTTGCACTCATTCATGATAACGAACATCTCATTCGTACACAAACTACCCCCTTCTTGTTGCTTAATCCCACTGCATTTAACAATATATCACTTACAATTTACTGGTACTGTACATACTTATTCATCTAATCTTTGTTCTACTTTCATACAATTTTTCAAGCACACAAACACATGATAAACCTCTTGTAAATATAGTATTTGTCTACCTAGCCTAAGGGCTCTGCATAAAGACATTTTAACTACTTCATTTGCACTAGTCAGACAATTTTCTTAGAAATAAATACAGTATCAGGTTTCAGGCCCTTGTGTTATACACAAAGCTTTTACACTCTCAAAATACACCAATAAACCCATGAAAAAAACAAAAATGGAATGGTTTATTATAATGTTCAGTCATCCATCATCTTTATACTGTACAATATAGAACAGTAATGTTCTATAAATGTGGTTAGAACAATAACAGCTGACTATATAGTCCATTAAGGAGAAGGATGCTATTGTGTAACAGTGATTGTAATTATTTGGTCAATATGAAATAAATCACCTTAAGAGTATTATATTTTTCAAATTTTAACATTAAATCTGTTCTCTTGAAAGGCCATTCCTATCCAAAAAGTATCACGCCCTACCTCCTCATTGTTAACATAGTCTGTTTTTCAATTAACTGTTCCATCAGATAACTATGGAAGTCTAGTGGATAAAAATACAATATGTACAAAATGTAATTCTAAACACAGGAGCCTCTATTGCATGAACTGTTCTCACCAATACCTCCATTACCCAGTACATAGCCAACCAATCTCAGTTACTTTCAAAATATAATTCTAAACCTTTTGATCACTGCTTTGACAACTATAAAATGAACATAAAATCAAATAAATAATAAACTGTAATATTTAACTTGCTTTTGGATAAATGGAACACTGGTTGTCATGAAATACAGCTAGTCAGGATTTGGTACATTCACTTTTTATTTCATGCTGTTAAAACAGACAAGAATTTCTACATGACCAATAAAACTAATTTTTAAATATCCATGCACACATAAAAATTTATGAAACTTACCTACTTGACTAAACTGATAAAGCCTACCTACAAACAAATGAAACCAACTATGTAATGTGAATTAAACAGTGAAAAATACAGCAATATCATGTGACAATAATAACTTTTATCCCCATAAACCTAATAGCAATAAGAAAAAAATTTAAGCCTTCTCTCAATCATTAATTTATAAAAGCAAATAAGCACGTATTTAATTTATTTAGTAACTAATTGTTTATCAATTGAACCTTGTTCCAACTAATGTCCGTGCAAATCCATAAAATTTACAGAGTAACCAAGTACCAAGTCATATAATCAAAGCTTTAGAAAAGCCATACAATTATATAATCTTGAGTGAGAGTGAGCCACATTACCACAACTCATTAAACACAATCTAAATGCTACATACACTATTATTTAACAGTGTACCTTCACAGTAAACTAAAAAATATTGTTCAGTTTAATTTCAGTGATACTTATGGATGATACGGTCAATGTTGTGTTTAAGATACTGAGTGCAGTTATTGTATATGTGATAGCATGGCCTTGAACACTCGGGCATCCACCTCTCATGTCTTTAACACTTAAAAACTGTTTGCCTCTTTATTTGGAATCATACACGAGCACTGTGCTTGACCAGTGCTCCGTAAGCACTAATCTACGCCTAAATATCGGTGATTATCCCATAACCAATCAATGTAGAAATTCAACATGTGATCAGAGGGTCGTATCTTTCTCCACTCATTGACACAGAAGATTCTGTAGGAATCATTTCCATATTTTCCAATACCGTGAAGTTCTTTGGGGTAAATCCAATCCTTAGTTAGGAACTCCTCTGCAATAGAAATGTATCTTACTAACAAATTTATATATTTAAATTTACCAACCATAATTTATAAATATTTATATTTACCTAACAATAGAACAATTTACCTAACACACACAGGCCCAACTAGGCCCAGGAACATTGACCAGGTAGCACGCAGCCAGGACCCTGGTCGACAGTCAAAAACCCTGAGTCCAAATGTCAGTCCAAAACATGTCACCAAAGACTGGTAACAGTCCAAAGTCTGGCTGGAACGAATAACCAAGAACAACCTGGGAGACCCGAACCATGGGACAGGAAACAAGGGAAACCGGATCAACCCAAAGCACGTCCCCGGACACAGGAGCCATGGCGCGCAAAGAATGGCGCTGAGCCACAATTGCACACAATACACGATGCAACCCCTGTCTGACCAACCAACTGTCAACAACCCAAGGACCCCTCCGGAAAGTAGCAGTCCCATTCTTCGCCATAAAAAAGAAGATGTTTGCAACCGAACAAACCTACCATCAGGACCAAACGAGCAGAAACCCCTGCGTTGGAGGAGAGCTTGAAGCTCCTCGACCCGACTCCCAGAGGCCAAAGCCAACAGGAAAAAGAGCCTTAGAGAAACAATCCTGAACCGAAAGGGCCACTACAAACCGAGGAGAAGAGAGAAAGGAGAAACCCGATCCAAAGACCAGGACAGCTCAGGCGGTGCGTGAGCAGGCCGGAGGTGAAACAACGCACGAAACAGCTTGCGGAATAGGCCCCCCACAGGCCCCCCCGGAGAATCAAGAAATCCAACAGTGGACGACAACAAGCAGAAGGGAGAAGAAAACCTAAGAGCCAGGGGCCCTGACAGACCACTAGCCAGGACGACTCCAGAACCTCATAATGAAACCAGGGAAGAAATGAAGATCCAAACCAGAAGGAAGGATCCAATATGGAGGCATAATCCGGGTCGCGTAGGAGGTAAACCGCTAATGGCTTCCCACACCTCATGAGGCGGGAACAGGAAGCCGAAAAACCTCCAGAAGGATGGGACCGACAGACCCGAAGGGACACAGAACCGAACCAAGGGAGGGGCAATGTTGGACACTCCCTTAATGTGAACTGCCACAGCAGGGTGCAGCTAACCAGGGGCCCAAAACTACCAAGCAAATCACTATAGCTGAACCCAGGGAAGTGTACACTCAAAGGGACCTAGCAGGGGGTGTCACCAAGGAGGACCGTGGAAGGGCAAACACCAGTGGAATAATACGGCAGAACCCCCCCGAAGGCAAAAAAAAAAAAAAAAAAAAAAAAAAAAAACCCGCAAGAGGACAGCGAACCCCAAGGAACAGAGCTGGCGTTATGTCGGGAAAACAAAGCTGCGCAGCACCCTGCGCCCCTACCAGTGCAAACTGCCTCTTACCCGCAGGTAACAAGGAAGAACAGAACACCCAAGAGCCCAACAGGCGGCCGAAAAACCGAATGGTAGAACGGACCAGCAGAGGCAGGTCCCGAGGAGCTTGTGGAAGGTGGCCCCAAGCTCCAAGGGCAGTACTTACAGGGCACCTAGGGAAGGCAGCACTAGGCGCATGCAGCCTGAGTACTGAAAATAACTCCTGGCTCTCGCACCCACAGAAAACAAACACCACACACAAAGCACAGTACTGTAGCGACACTGGACCCAGAGCACACGACTTTCGCCTGGTTGATTACCTGGTTGATTACCTGGTTGATGGGGTTCTGGGAGTTCTTCTACTCCCCAAACCCAGCCCGAGGCCAGGCTTCACTTGTGAAAGTTTGGTCCACTAGGCTGTTGCTTGGAGTGGTCTGCAGGCCCACATACCCACCACAACCCGGTTGATCTGGCACTCCTTGCAGGAATAAATCTAGTTTCCTCTTGAAGATGTCCATGGTTGTTCCGGCAATATTTCTTATGCTTGCTGGGAGGGTGTTGAACAACCGTGGACCTCTGATGTTTATACAGTGTTCTCTGATTGTGCCTATGGCACCCCTGCTCTTCACTGGTTCTATTCTGCATTTTCTTCCATATCGTTCACTCCAGTACGTTGTTATTTTACTGTGTAGATTTGGTACTTGGCCCTCCAGTATCTTCCAGGTGTATATTATTTGATATCTCTCTCGTCTTCTTTCTAGTGAGTACATTTGGAGGGCTTTGAGACGATCCCAATAATTTAGGTGCTTTATCGCGTCCATGCGTGCCGTATATGTTCTCTGTATTCCCTCTATTTCAGCAATCTCTCCTGCTCTGAAGGGGGAAGAGAGTACTGAGCAGTACTCAAGACGGGACAACACAAGTGACTTGAAAAGTACAACCATTGTGATGGGATCCCTGGATTTGAAAGTTCTCGTAATCCATCCTATCATTTTTCTGGCTGATGCAATATTTGCTTGGTTATGCACCCTAAACGTTAGGTCGTCAGACATCATTATTCCCAAATCCTTTACATGCTGTTTTCCTACTATGGGCACATTTGATTGTGTTTTGTACCCTGTATTATGTTTAAGGTCCTCATTTTTACTGTACCTGAGTACCTGGAATTTATCACTGTTAAACATCATGTTATTTTCTGATGCCCAGTCAAAAACTTTATTAATAACTGCTTGAAGTTTTTCAATGTCTTCAGCCGAGGTAATTTTCATACTGATTTTTGTGTCATCTGCAAAAGATGATACGAAGCTGTGGCTTGTATTTTTGTCTATATCTGATATGAGAATAAGGAAAAGCAGCGGTGCAAGGACTGTACCCTGAGGTACAGAGCTTTAAACTGCTCGGACTAGATTTTATATGGTTGACCGTTACTCGCTGAGTCCTGTTTGACAGAAAACTGAGTATCCAGTGTTCTACTTTACCGGTTATTCCCATTGACTTCATTTTGTGTGCTATCACACCATGGTCACATTTATCGAAAGCCTTTGCGAAGTCCGTGTATATCACATCAGCATTCTGTTTTTCTTCTAATGCCTCAGTGACTGTCGTAGTGATCAAGTAGCTGCGAGAGGCACTATCTTCCCGCTCGAAATCCATGTTGGCCTGGGTTGTGAAAGTCATTGGTCTCCATGAAATTGGTGACCTGACTCTTAATCACTCTCTCAAATACTTTTATTATGTGCGATGTTAGTGCAACTGGTCTATAATTCTTTGCCAATGCTTTGCTCCCTCCCTTGTGTAGAGGGGCTATGTCTGCTACTTTAAGTGCATCTGGTATCTCCCCCGTGTCCAAGCTCTTCCTCCACACTACACCGAGTGCTTGTGCTACCGGCACTTTGCATTTCTTTATAAATACAGTATTGAATTCAATGAATCTGGACCTGGGGCCGAGTGCATGGGCATGTTTTCAATTTCTCTTTCAAAGTCTAGTGCACTCGTGTTGATATCAGTTATATTTACAGGGGATTGAATATCCCGCATAAAGAAATTGTCTGAATCTTCCACTTTCATGTTGTTTATTGGAGTGCTAAATATGTCCTCATACTGCTTTTTTTAGGATTTCACTAATTTCTTTGTCATCCTCCGTGTATGAACCTTCACTTGTACGAATAGGTCCAATACTGCCAGTGGTTTTTGCTTTTGATTTCGCATATGTGAAGAAGTATTTTGGATTTTTCTTTATTTCCTGAATTGCTTTCTGTTCTAACTGCCTTTCTTCAGTTTGATATGAGTGTTTCAATTTCCGCTCGATTTCTTCAACCTCCCTATTTAAATTATCCCTTCTTTGACGGGAAATTCGTGTCTGCATAAGCATTTCCATTATTTTTTTCCTTCGTTTATAATGTCGTCTGTGTTCTCTTTCTACGTTGGATCTCTTTCTGGCTTTCTTCAGAGGAACATGTTTCAGACAGACTTGATATGCTTCCGAAGTCAGTTTTTCTATTCCTTCTGTAGGACTTGTATTACTTAGAACAATTTCCCATGGAATGTTTGTAAGTTCCCCGTTTATTATCTCCCAGCCTATAGCATCAGCGTCAAGAACTGAGGTGGGGGTAGCCGGCGTGAAGGGTCTGGGGCTCCCCCTTCCCCCTCCCGGGGAGGGGGGAGCTGCACAGACAGTGGCGTGGCAATGTGTGACATTTGCTTGTTTTCTGTTGGGAAGTTCTATCCACTAGTTCGGCTTTTGGTAGCAATTTTAACCAGAATAGGGGTTTGTTTTGGGGCGCTTACCTTTCTGGGTGCCTGATCCGGTCAATGGCAGACATAGAATGCTTCCAATCACATGGGGGTTTCTATAGGCCATTGCCCCCCTTGCCTCTCTGAGGGGGCCAGGTTCTGGCCATGGTCCCCAGTAGGCCTAAGAACTCCATACACATGACTGATGCCAAAGTCTGACATTAGCATATCAGCCTGGGATAGCTCCGGGGAGCCGTTGGGGCTCACCCCAGAAAAATATTTTGCTTTTTTCTTTTGCAAACAGTGATAGACGGTTAGACCACACACCGTGACAGCCTGTCTTCCAGCAAGAGCTGGGAGGGGGGAAGGATGGAGGCATGACATGGGGAGGGAGAGGGGGAGGATGGAGGCATGGTGAGGGATGGAGAGGGGGAGGATGGAGGCATGGCATTGGGAGGGAGAGGGAGGATGGAGGCATGGGGAGGGAGAGGGAGGATGGAGGCATGGGGAGGGAGGGGGAGGATGGAGGCATGGTGAGGGAGGGGGAGGATGGAGGCATGGCATGGGAAGGGAGGGAGGGGGAGCATAGCATGGCTAGGGAGGGTGGTGAGTGGAGGGAGGTATGGGTAGTGTGTGTTTGTCAATGGATGTTGGGCTTCTTCAGATGGAGGTCCTTACCATATAGTCCGGATAATCGAGCTCACACAGTACGTTAAATGTAAAGTGTTCATAGGCCATTGCTCCCTGCACCTCTCTGAGGGGGCCAGGCTCTGGTGTTGGTCCCCGGTAGGCAACATGAACTCTCTGACTAATGACCCAAAAAAGGATTGCACTATATCAGGATAGCTTGAACTATCCTGAGAAATGAACTATACCCACAAAAATGGCCAACACTTATTTGGCAAAACTGGGATCTGTAGAGCAAGATGGATCACTACACAAGGTTGCACCAGGTAAATGACTGAAGGGAGAACACCACCTGAGCCAGCAGCTCATGGTGCTGCCACCTAGTGGTAGGGAGGTGGAACTAGTGGTGAATGGATCTAACTGCTGGGTATCTTGCGTCCTGTTTGTTTATTTTTGCCTTACTATTGTGTGTTTTGTCTCACTCACCTCCACAATGGCTATTTCTTCAGTTAGTGTGATCTAGTATCCTCCACTCTATACGCCTCGGTCAGATCCAGGAATTCAAGGCCCGCCCAGGCTCAACCCATCAGTCATGAGCTGACCAAAGACAATCTATGTACTTGAACGGGAAAGAGGAATCAAGGAGCCAACGACGGATCCATCAGAAAAAAGCTTTTCTTTACATTCAGTGCTACATTTCTGCTAGGGGTCCCTCGGTGGCTCCCTGTAGCTATTTATTTTGTATCTCATCCTGTAATTATGTATACAGAGATACAAAAGCAAAATAGACTCACTAGGCGCAGAGAAGCAGCCAGTAATCTCTGAAGAAAGGGGAAACTAAGGGCCAGGTAACCCTACCCAATGCCACACAGGCCTTTCATGGTCTCAGCACATTAAAAAGATATCAAGCTGTCAACATCCTGTAGGAATGCCAAAACCTCTGAGACCAAATATATGCCCAAGATATAGTCAAGAAAACAGTGGGCAAAGCTACAAATTTCCAAATGGCATATTGGTCCAGGATGAATCGAAACACTGCCAATCATTTTATTTTAAGATTTGTGGGTTGGGTGTCTAATTTTCAGCCACATTACTGTGACAGTGTCTCCATTAATACAAATTTGTGCCAGAGTTGAAACTAAACCATTAAAACACTTACCGGAGAAACGGATAATCATTTTTGCTCTCTTCTCGTGAAGTCCTAGAGGTTGAATAATATTAGCAATTTCTTCCCACGATGCCTTAACTGTGTCTTCAGGAGTTGGCCACCTCTCAAGAAACTCCCACAGGATATTTTTGCCCAGAGCTTCTTCCCCTGCAGGAAAAATAAATTTGGTATGTATTAATAAATAGAAAACAATTTTAAAATATATTACTGCATCTCTCTCTTTAAACTAAGCTATATTTCCTGAGAGGACATGGGACTGGTTTCCAGTGATCCATCACAAACATTAATATTAAAAAGTATCACACACACAAGCAACATATGCTGTTTTTTTATTTAACAGTTACCTGTTTAACCCTTAAGCTGCTAAGGGGTCCTGAGGAGATTTACACCCCTGTGCGCAAGAAAAAAAAATTTAATATTTTTTTTCGTGCTAAGGAAAGCCCAGGCAGGGTACTGCGAACTGGCGCCCAAAACTACCGAGCCAACTTCTAAAAGCTGAACCACCGGGAAGTGCCAACTCACAGGGGTCTAGCAGGGGGTACCACTAAAACACAGAGATGGATATAGAAAGATCCCAACCAAAGGCATACCACCACCAGGCTAAAAAACAAAAACAAAAGAAAACCCCCACAAGAGGACAACGTACCCAGGTGGAACAGAGCTGGCCACTATAATAGGTGATAACTTGCTGTGCAGTACCCCACGCCCCTACTAGTGATGAAAACTACTTCCTACCCAAAGGCAAACAAGGGCAACAAAAACCACAGCTGACTCCAAGGGCGGCCAAGTACCGAGCAGTAAAAGGCACAATGGAGGTAGGTCCCAGGGTGATTTGTGGAAGGTAGCCCCCAAACCCTAAGGGCAGTATTCACATGGCACCTAGGAAAGGAAACCCTAGGCACATGCAGTTCGAGTACTGTAGAATATTACTCCTGGCTCACGCACAACCTGTAGAGACAGGCCACGCCACAAGGCACAGTAACTGAAATCAAAGCAGGAACTAGAGGCACGTGACCTGCCAGTATCACATCAGCCAAGAACTGCCGGTTGGATCACCGGCACGAGGGTCTGGGGCTTCCCCTTTTCCCTTCCGGGAGGAGGGAGGGGGTTACTCAGATAGCCGAGTGGCAACGTGATGACGTCATGCTCGTTTGCTAATTTTTATTTGGGAAGTTCTGTCCACTCATTCGGCTTTCGGTTGCAATATTTTCACCAGAATAGGGGGTTTGTTTTGGGGAGCCTCCCTTTCTGGGTGACAGACCCGGTCAATGGCAGATATAGAATGCTCCCAACTACACGGGGGTTTCTATAGGCCATTGGTCCTCATGCCTCTCTGAGGGGTTTAAGTTCCGGCTCGTGGTCCTTTGTAGGCAAGAACTCCATGCACTTTAATGCCAGAAAGCTAATAAATACATATCAGCCCTAATAGCCGCACACCCTCGACCTGGGTACTCTCAAGCCGCACACCCTCGACCTGGGTACTCTCAAGCCGCACACCCTCGACCTGGGTACTCTCAAGCTGCACACCCTCGACCTGGGTACTCTCAAACCGCGCACCTTTTTCTCATTTATATATCATCTTAGTATCATGTCCTTGAGTATAAAATATTATTTTTATTAATAAGTAAAAAATGAAAATAAAAACATCCAGAGCAAAAATGTGACCCCTCTTCCCCTTTAATGTCACCAACCCTCACATAAGGCATCAAAATGCACAATGACCCGGCCACCTGCTCATGAAACCAAGCATGTTGATAATTGTTGAATATTTTCCTTTTCCTTACTTTATGCATAAAGCTTTATCATTCAATATGAAACAATTATTTTTGGCACACAAGTGAAATTACAATCACCTCATTCTGAGGGCTAAATAGAATTTGACAATGTTAAATACTGAAAATAAAACAAGTTAAGAGGCATTTGATGCCTAAACTCTTACCTGTAGTTCTGTTAAGGAATATAGTGCCAACAAGTAGTTTCCATGGATCATGATACAGGGACTCTTGGAAAAGATTAAACGGTGAGCGCGGAGGATTCCACTTGGCAGTAGCTTTTAATCTTACACGACCCAGTGTGTCTCCTTTTATTTTGAAGTATTCACTCTTCTTGTCTTCACCTTTCGCTTTCTTCATTAAGGGTCCTTGAAGAGAAAAATATTGAGTTAGGACATCTCTCTTACTCTAAACTTCAAGTATTGACTGACTCTTTGCTGAACGTTTACTAACTTGTTTGCTGACTGAAAACAAGTGTGTTTCATTCTTCGTACGAGAACTGTGTGAATATTGCTTTATAGTGACAAGCAATTATTTGATATGAGGACAATGATATGCTGTTTTAACCTTTATGCTACTACAACTTTTTTGGGGGGATTTATCCCCACTAAGGGTCAAAATGTAGCAAATATAAATGTTAATTTTAAATTTTGTATTACATTTTAATAAAAAAAAACAGCATTGAATGTAATGAAACACTATTTTCTGGGGGAGCCCCGGAGGCTCTATGGAGCCTTCATGCTCCCCTCAGAAAAAAAGTTAAATGCAGAAAAGTTTCTTTTCTGGTAAAGCTCAGGTGACTGACTGCAGCAATCACACAGAGATGGCTCCCCACTACTGGGTCCCATTAGTCACAGGAGTTGTTTGGCCTACCAGAGACCACAGCCACAACCTGGCCCCTCACTCAGGAGAACAGAGCAGGGGGACTATTATCACCACTCTTGCCAGGATAGCATCCAGCAAGTCTGCAAAGCTTCACAGACAACTACATGGTTTATAAAAATGAAGATTCAAAACGGCCAAATGACTGCAAACAAATCAATACAAACAAATGGTTCACTTGAAGTTACTGCAGCTTGAATCTGTTAGTACTGACATCTGCCAGAGCACGGGCTCATAGCCAGCTCCAAGGGCAATCTGGAGCTGATGCACAAGAAACTCATGAACCTAGGCCAGATTCACGAAGCACTTACGCAAGCACTTACGAAACTATACATCTTTTCTCAATCTTTGGCAGCCTTGTTTACAATTATTAAACAGTTAATGAGCTTCAAAGCACCAGGAGGCTGTTTATAACAATAACAACAGTTGATTGGGAAGTTTTCATGCTTGTAAACTATATAATAAATGTAACCAAAGTCATCAAAGATTGGGGAAAGATGAACACGTTCGTAAGTACTTGCGTAACTGCTTCGTGAATCTGGCCCCTGATAGGGAAAGGTGGAGGAAGTCTGAAAGCCACTGGCCAGGATCTGCGCAGACAGCGGCGCGGTGACGTGTGACATCATACTAGTTTGCTTGTTTTCTGTTGGGTTGTTCGGCTTTTGGTAGCAATTCGGCTTTTGGTAGCTAGTTCGGCTTTTGGTAGCAATTTTAACCAGAATAGGGGTTTGTTTTGGAATGCTTACCTTTCTGGATGCTTGACCCGGTCAATGGCAGACATAGAATGCTTCCAACCACACGGGAGTTTCTATAGGCCATTGCTCCCCTTGCCTCTCTGAGGGGGCCAGGTTCTGGCCGTGGTCCCCGGTAGGCCCTAGAACTCCATACACATGACTGATGCCAAAGTCTGACATTAGCATATCAGCCTGATAAAGCTCCGGGGAGCCTCCGGGTCTCGCCCAAAAAATGGCGTTTTATTACATTCAACGCTGTTTTTTTAATGCTTAGTTTTCTATGAATCTTGCAGCTATACTTATTTTCTGGATGCTTTTCCCATGAAAGACGAAAATAGTCCCCTGCTCCTTGTACCTCTGTGAGGGGGGTTTGCTAAGGTTCTAGCGCTGGTCCCTGGTAGGCCAAGCAGGACTCCTGTGACTGATGTCATCCAGAAGCAGGGAACAATCTCAATGAGATAACTTCATGGAGCCTCCAAGGAAAATCTCCCAGAAATCAAAGCACCGAATGTAATCAAACACCCTTTTCTACTAAGTATTCCTCCAAGTTAAGTGCTCCCCTGCACCATGCACCAGTGGGGAAGTGCAGGATTCTATTCATAGTGGGGAATAGTATCTCTGTATACTAACACTACTTTCTCAAGAGCAACATAGCAGCTATGTCTGTCCCTCACCAGGACTACCTCAGACTGATCAAACAAGACCAAAGACTGATGTGCAACATCATGGGCCCACGCAAGTCAATGGGGAATTGGAACACTACTGATCACTGTATCGATCCTGATCACAGGTATACAAGATGGCGGAGCCCATGATGCAGGGAAGGCTATGAGAGTAAGGAGTTCACCCAGGAGCCACAGGTTGGACCCATTACCTTTTGAAGATTTCGAGGGTTGTTCTACACTTGCAGCCAGCATTCCCTGGCAACTGCTTGATGATTACTTAGGTGTAATTACAGTATGAGAGCTAAGCTCGTCGTGTCTCATCTGTGCACTCTGTCAGTAGTTTTATGACTCTGAAACTACTGATGGGTTTTGACATCCTTCACCTCCTCACTTAACTTGCTCCAACTGTCTACCAATCTGCAAAGGTGAACTTTCTAATGTTTTTTTCCGCAGTTTAGGTTCCTTTTGCTTGAATCTATGACCTCTTGTTCTTGAAGTTGCAGGTTTCAAGAATTCTTTTTTATTTTTGTTGATGTGTTATGTGTTGAATTTGTTGATTCCTGTTACTATTTTGTATGTAGTGATCATATAAACTTTTTTCTTCTATCTTCTACCTTTGGTATATTTAATACTTCTAGCCTCTTCTCGTACCTCTTGTTTTTCAGTTCCAGAAGCCATTTCATTTCATACCCTTACACTTTTCCAGTTTGCTGATGTACTTCTTGAGATATGGGCACCATACATCCACTGCACATTCTCCCATTTTAGTCTCACAAAGGCCATGAACAATTTTTAAATATTTTGCCATTTATATACAGTATTTAAAATAAATTCTAAAGTTAGAAAGCCTAGCATACGTTCCTTGTACAATGTTCTTTATGTGGGCCTCAAGTGACAATTTTCTATCCAGAACTACCCAAGTGGTTCCAGTGGGGCCTGACAGCTGAGTAGACAGCGCTTGGGATTCGTAGTCCTAAGGTTCTGGGGTTCGATCCCTGGTGGAGGCAGAAACAAATGGGCAAAGTTTCTTTCACCCTGATTCCCCTTGTTCACCTAGCAGTAAATAGGTACCTGGGAGTTAAGACGGCTCCTACGGGCTGCTTCCTGGGGATGCATAACAAAAAGGAGGCCGCATCGAGGACTGGGCTGCAGGGACGTTAATCAAAACACAGCATGAAGCTATATAATACGAGCATATAATATATACTTACAATGGAACCTCGATTGACAAGCGCCTCAATCTACGAGCATTTTGAATAACGAACGTGCCACTCGGCGAAAATTTGTCTCGATTGACGAGCTGTCATTTGATTAACAAGAAAAGCACACGGTGCTTCCTAGCGTTCCCGCTAGTTCTCGGACACCTCCGATGATGCAAATAAATTGATTTTTTTTTAAAGATACTAATGATGCTGGGATGTAAAAGGGTGACTACTGTAATGTTGCAAAGCATTGATTTAAATTTTTTAGACAAAATTAAAAAAAAATTAAAAAAATTGAAAAAAGAACAAATGTCAATAATGTTCACTCAGAGACTCATGTAGGCTGCTACATTTTCTAAAAACAAAACAAAAAATCATAAAGGTTCGTTCAGTGATTGTCAGGTAGGCTGCTCCATTTTCAAAAAAAAAAAAAATGAAACAAAAATTATTGAAAGACTTTGAAACAAGACAAATGTCATAAAGGATCGTTCAGTGTATGTCAGGTAGGCTGCTCCATTATTAATAAAAAATATGAAAAATACAAAACAAATTGAACAAATTTGAAAACAAGAAAAAATTTCATAATGGAGCATCCTACCTGACAAACACTGAACGAACCTTTATGACATTTCTCCTTTTTTCAAATTTGTTCAATTTTTTCATTTTTTATACAAAATTGGAGCAGGTTACCTGACATACACTGAATGAGCCTCTTTCTATAAAATAAATGAAAAACAAAAAAAATGATACAAATCTGAAAAAGATAAAATGTCATAAAGGTTTGTTCAGTATATGTCAAGTAGGCTGCTCTATTTTCTTAAAAAGAAATAAAAAATAAAAAAAATTAAAATTTAATAAATTTGAAGAAAGAAAAAGTCATAAAAGGTTTGTTCAGTGTGTTTCAGGTGGGCTGCTCCATTATTTAAAAAATTGAATATGCTATTGATGTTTTTTCAGTAATAGAATGGATTAATTTTACTTCCATTATTTTAAATGGGGAAATTCGTTTTGAAAGATGAGCGTTGCACATGATGAGCTAGGTGCCGGAACGGATTAAATTCGTTAATCGAGGTTCCACTGTATTATAGTCTTAAATCAATTAAAACTGTTTTTTACATTATTACACTATATTTACACATTATATGCCCCTGTCAACATATTTATGCACCATAATGAACTAATAAGCTGGTCTGGTGGGTTTGTTGATAAAATTAAAACAGCATGAAGCCATATAATACAAGCAGATGATGCCAGGAGTCACACGATGCAGGAAAATGCCTTCAATATTCTGCACATCTCGCTATAACTAGCCACAGAACTACTGTTATCATCACATTCCTGTCACAAAATCCCAGTTATGAATCCATTTCCACAAGATTATACTGTGGAGCAGCCAGAGGTCATTTCATGATGCATAGATGCAACAATGGCTGGGTGTGTGTGTGTGTGTCTACCTCATGCTGTGAATATCATAACCAGCTTTGTATTCACTACACAGAGAAATCACGTTGATATATCAAAGAACAAATCTACTGGAGCCTTGATGAGGGTTCAAACCTATTAGCTGAGTGTTCCCAGACGCACTCTAGTCAACTGTACCACGACATGGTAAAAAGAATTGCAACCTGGAGTGCTAGTGCACCGACGAGAATCCAGAGGCTTCCACTGAAGCCTAACCAGGGTTTCACACAATTCCTGTCTGTCAACCAGTAGTATTACCTCTGACGCTCATACTGTACTTCAATACACAGGACTAGTACAGTGTTACCTCCGTTTTCGAATTTTATCTGTTCCCAGAGACGGTTCGAAAACAGAAAATACGAATACTGAAACAAATTTTTCCATACGAAATAATGTAAATTGAATTAATCAGTTCCACACCCCC